TTTATGATTTTCAGAATTGCAAGCAATATGTGCTTCTTCTTGTGACTGGTTACATCTGGTTGTGGATTTCTTAGTAACTGCCTCTTCATGGTAGCAGACGCTAGCCAGCCACGTGTGTTAGGCAAACGACGTCACGGATACGTTCTCACAATATCCCAACAGCCAAAACAGACGTAGAACCACCTTATCAACACCAAAACCGCAAGCACAACTTTCAACCGCACAAAAATTAGGAGACCGATTTTCAAACCTCTAGAGGGCGGTGTTTGCTTTTTGCAGAGTCAGTTAAAAGAAAAAAGAGAAGCGCGGAAGGAACACAAAATCTTTTTATTTTTCTAACTCCAAAAACTCCTGTAAACCTTCCTCCGTTTTTTTGCTACCAAAAAATTTTAAACGGTACTTTTTTCTTGACTTATTCGTCAGAAAGAACCTTTTTACTTTTTCTGTTTTATTTTTTTTCTTAAAGTCATTGAATGCTTCTATCTCGAAAAAAAACATTGTTGGATAAACAACAGCTAAATTTGTATACAAAGCTCATCACCACCATAGTCATACTACCAAAAAACCTATCGCTTTTTGTAAATTGTTGTTTTACCTCTAAATAATCCTTTTCACAAGCATATTATTTATCACGGTGTGACCACTATAATAAAGATCACGTTAAGGATTTCTCTGGACTAACTTTAGAAGGACTTCTATTCCTTCCACACTTGTAATTTTTACCACTCTTAATCTTACATATCATTTAGTGGTCAACCATTTTTATGCCCATACATTTGAATTTCCCAAATTTGAGACAATTCACGCACTTTAATTTTTTGCGCAGGATTAATGGAATTGTTATAATGTATTGCAAATTTTGCGGACGGTCAAGATTCTCGACATAGTCTCTGTTATCCCTTAACCGTTTAATAAAAGTAAGTTTTTCAGATTTTATTTCTGAAAGGTTGAGCAAAATGTTGTGCTTATTAGCTTAATAGAACTGACTGGAAAATATGAATAAGTTGATTTGTTTTATGCCTCTTCTTTTAATGTTCTTATGATGTCACTCTAGTTTTACATATTTTTGCAGCTAAAGCATATCTCCAGTCAAAAATACCTGATATAATTTAGAAGGCTGCGGTATAAGGCTTAGGAAATTCAGATGAGTAAGCAGATTAGCTTCATTAATGATTAATTTATTAACTCGGCAGCCTTCTTGTATCTGTATCCGCAAAACACATGATTATAATTGTATGACCAAAAACTATTTTCGTCTGGTAACGATGAAGCACTCTGCCAAAGAGAAAGTGCTCTCTGAAAGCTTTGCTATTATAACCCAGTCGCTTGGACAGATATTCTTCTATTGCTCTTTTTTTCGTTACTTCCAATCTGTTTTTATTTCCTGTTGTAAAGCGTCTTCTTTTTCCTGACAATAACTTAATTTGAGTTGAATTTGGGCTCAACTAAACCTACAGGGTTTGACTATTTTTCCCTATTTTGAACCACCGTAATTTGCTTCAGCTAACCTAAACAGTACTCTTGTGCTAAACTTAATGTTATCGAGCTTTTAGTGTTTACCATTCTCTCAATTCTATTGATTAGATGCTAAACCAATAGGCGGATACAGTTTCCAATGTTAGCTGCTCAGACTCTTTGAGTATACCTAACCAACGAAACTGATGGAAAAATTATTCCCAAGTGCCGTGCAATTTCTAGACAATTTAGCTTTATTCACATGTGCTTATGCAGGAAGAAAGGTAACAGTGTCAAACTACATCTAATACCTGTTTTCGGTTACTTTAACAACTCAGGTTAAAGAATAAGCTATACTCGCAATGTTCTTTTCAATCGCTCTTTTAATCTTCGGTGATTTTACCCTAGCAGGAGCGAAGACATGATGAAAATGAAGGTTATTTCTTCTTTAATACCTCC